CTTGCGGGTCGCCCGTACCTCGTCGTCGTCCTCCTCCTCCAGCTCCTCCTCGGTCTTCTCCGCGTCGCCTTTCGGGAGCAGTTCGTCGGCGGACACGGGCTCCCCAGCGCCGGCGGCGGCGGCGGCGGCCATGGCTGTATGGGACACCGGAAGCGGAAGGGAGCAGGCGAGCGCGGCCCGGCGGCGGGCAGAGCGTCTTTCCGGGAACGAGACGCAGACGGGGACAGAGTGGCGTCCCCGGCCGCGGGTCCTCCGACCGCAGGTCGTCAGGCCGCTGGTGCCACAACCCGCGTTGCCTCCGCCTGTACTGCGACCCCGCGGGCCCAGAAACCCTCTGAGGGACCGACACGTGCAAGCCAGTCCAGGGTCTGGGACTTGGTAGCACTAAGCGGGTCAATCTAAACGTTTATTGGTCGTTTTTCCAGAATTAGGAGAAATGAGAATACGAGTGCCCATGAACCACCCTAACCACTGTTTTGAAATGTGTTAGGCGCCCACGGCTCACGCCTGTTAGTCCTAGCAACTCAGGAGGCTGAGATAGGAGGATCGCAGTTCAAAGCCAGAGGTGGAGCCGTGGCTCCTGTTAAAACCTCCAGACAGTGCCCACCCCCTGAGTTCAGGCCCCAGGACCAACAGACAGACACACATACACACACGAATCATGAAGTGCAATGTTCAGAACTCAGGCAGATGGGATGATCTAGAGCAGGCAGAACGGAAGGCTGAGGACCAGCTCTGTGGAATGGGACACTGACAGGCAGGAATGGAAAGGAGGACTAGAGAAATGCAACCTTGCCGAAGGCTTCAAGGAAAAAGTGAAGGTGACATGTTAGGCACCAGCGAGTGAGTGTGATGCCCCTGCCTCCTCTCCTTCCCTCAGGCCCATGATTTCTATCTACATTTCCTCTTTATGAGGGGAGGGTGTGTGTGTGTGTGTGTGTGTGTGTCATTTCCTCTTTATGAGGGGAGGGTGTGTGTGTGTGTGTCATTTCCTCTTTATGAGGGGAGTGTGTGTGTGTGTGTGTGTGTGTGTGTGTGTATTTGGAACTGGTGAGTGATAGTTGCAGGATAGGGGTTATGTGAGTCCCTCTGGAAATCTAATGACAGCTGTGAGCCCCGCCATAATACAGGCTGTACAAGCACAGCCAAACATCTGGAGCACCTTGTAAAGGACTCAGGCTACACAATGTCCTGATGATTATGTAATACTGCACTCACTCCTACCCACAGACATTTCTATTTCCATTCCTCGTGACAGCCCTTCCCTAATCCAGCTTGGCATTAAACTTCACAACACTGTTGTCATTATGAGAGATCATGTCAAGGAACATACTATGTACATGGGTTCTCTGTAAGCACTGGTTTTGGTTAAGAAGGGCTTTGAGGGAGAATTTTAGCCAGAATATATGACTAAGAAGGAAAAAATCATGAACATGTATGTTCTCACAAGGAAAAAACCCCCAAAACCTTCCTAAACGAAAGGGAAACAAGGTGACATGATTGGTTATTTCCTCTTTCCTTTTAGGTACTTTAATCAACAGGCTCATTGACTTGCCTCATACCCAACTTCATCCACAGACTGGTAGGCTGCATCAGGGGTTCATATTCACACAGACGATGTCACCTCCTTCTGCCATCCTACTACCCGCAGCCTGGCCGTTTTCACCCAGGAATCATCACATTCACTCTGACCAAGTCCTTCACTGTGGAACTGCCCCATATCTTCCAGCATGCGTAGGGTACCTGGCTCTGGCTCTGCAGGGTGCCAGTCATGGGGAGAGAGGATCCACATCACTGTGACAAACAAGTGCTCCAACTGAGGCCAGCTCTCAGGCCTGGCTGTTTCTTTTCGTGTGTGTGTGCGCGCGCACGCGCGCACGTGTGCTGTCCTGGGGTTAAAGTCTGGGCCTGGCTGTTTCTTTCCGTGTGTGTGTGTGTGTGTGTGTATGTGTGTGTGCGCGCACACACACGCGTGTGCATGCTGTCCTGGGGTTAAACTCTGGGCCTTGCACCCTCCCTCAGCTTTCTTTGCTCACAGTTAGCACTCTTTCACTTGAGCCACACCTCCATTTCTAGCTTTTTGCTGCTTAGCTGGAGATCAGAATCTCACAGATTTTTCTGCCCAGGCTAGCATCATACCAAAATCCTCAGCTCTTCGCCTTCTTAATAGGATTACAGGAGAGAGCCACTAGTGCCTGTCCTGGCTGGTTTCTTCAGCTAAAATAATAATAATAATAATGATGATGAACCAGGCACCAGTTGCTCACACCTGCAATCCTACCTACTCAGGATGCTGAGATCTGAGGATTGCAGTTCACAGGCAGCCTGGGCAGGAAGGTCTGTGGGACTCTTACTTCCAAATAACCAAAAAAGCCAGAAGTGGTGCTGTGGTTCAAGTTGTATAGCGCTGGGCTTTAAGCAAAATTGCTTGGAACAGCACCCAGACCCTGAGTTCAAACTCCAGGACTGATAACACAAAAAAGATGAAAAACGTGAGTTTTCCTGAGAATTAAGTGTCCAGCATTGAAGGTGCTCAATGAATGGTTGCTCAAGTTATTGGCTTGGGTATAAGCAAACTCAGTTGTTCAGTTTTCTGCACCTGAAGACACACACCATGTGTGATGTTTTGTTTTTTTTTTTTGGTCAGTCGTGGGGCTTGAACTTGGGGCCTAAGCACTGTCCCTCAGCTCTTCAGCTCAAGGCTAGCGATCTACCACTTGAGCTACAGCGCCACTTCAGGCTCTTTCTGCTTATGTGGTGCTGAGATCAAACCCAGGGCCTCTTGTATGCGAGGCAAGCACTCTACCACTGAGCCACCTTCCCAACCCTGATGCTTTTTCTTCTGTGTTGAACAGTGTCCTGGATCAGGAAGTGAGGCTACAGGCGGAAGTCAATTCTGTTCTTCTGTCCATCCCCAGCAGCGCTCTGCTGGTAGCAGGGCAGACTGCCCCATGGAGGCAGCCTGGCCTCGCTCACGGTGGGCTCTGGTCCTACACCAGCTTCCACAATGGTTGTGAACGTTGCAGCCTTAGTGCAAACAGGCAGGAGGACAGTATTCACTGAGCACAGGGCTGAGAGGAAAAGATGGTGCAAAGGACGGAGCCCAGACCAGATGCAATAGGGATTCAGAAACTGCGACCATACAAGCAGCCCCCAGTTTAAAGCACTGGGGGCTTCACAAGCACTAGGTAGGGAGCATTGAGTTGTCACAAGGACACAGATACCTGCTCCATCACCACCACCTCTGGCACCTTGCGGGGGGGGGGGCCTGAAGCCAGGGACCCCAAGCAGCATGTGCTGTGGGCTGTGGGCAGCTGTACAGCGTAGGGCTTGCTGAGTGAGCAGAATTTGGTGATTTCTGTGCTGCCCAACCCCAGCACCCACCCCAACTTCACAAGTGGATTCTGCTCCAGCTAGAGGCCACCCACTCCAACCCAGGCGCTGGCTCCTGCCTGTCAACCAGTTCTTGCCTGCTGTGCTCAAGGGCCAGTTCTACCACCCTAAAACGGGAAGATAGGCTTGTGAGCACAGAAGACTTCCCTCTCCCGGTCAGCCTTCCCCAGTGCTCTCCTTCAAGCTGCTTTAAGAACTCTTTCAGTAAGCAACAGGAAGTAGAGAATCCGGGCTTCTGTTACCTCTGCTTCCCTCATCCCCCCAAGTGCTGGCCCAACACTTTGCCATGGAGCCCCTACTCAGTCTAGATGTGCCTGGAGCCACCCATGCTACTTTCTTCAGCCTACACAGAAATTCTTTAACACCATTTAATTAAAAAATATACAAACAAGAAAATAACACAGAACTACAATGTGCCTCAGGCCTGCCCTGCTGTGTCGCTGAAGCCAGGGGAGGTTGTGGACCTGGGGGTGAGTATTCTTTTAAGGGTAGGGAGTGTCTTGGGGTGGGGGGGGCACAGTACCAGGAGAGTTGCTCATGCCAGATCCCAGATATAGGGCTCTCTGGGACTGGTGTCACACCCCAAACACCAGCATATGGGGTGAGAAGATGAGGTGCGGCTGCGTTTCCCACAGAGTCCACCCGCTGGGGTGACTCTAGGACCTGTGCAGTTGTATGCTCACATGTGTTGGGTATGACCCTTTCAAAGGCTTAGCACCTGGGGCCTGCATGCGGCCTGGCAGCCCTGGGCTGCGCAGCTGGGTGCTGTTCTAGTGACTGCCCTGGTCTGGCATCTCGGTTTCCTCCATCCAATGTCCCCCACTTCCCCGCAACACCCTCCCCCGGCCCCTGCCAGCCCACCTCCTAGGACCAACTCCACCAGTGTGCCTGCACCAAACAACTGGCTCAGCCACATCCTACTCCCCGGGGGGGGGTGCTCCCTTGAGAGCCTTCACTTCCTCCTCCGGCCCACGCTCTTCAGTTCGTCCAGTTCCTTCTCCATTAAGTGGGACTCAGCCGTGGTCTCTGAGAGCTGTAAGCAATGCACACTGTTAGAAAGACGCCCCTTGCAAGCTGCAGCTCACGTTCTCAAAGACCGCTGGGTCCTCCTCGAGCCCTGCTGGCCTGGAGGAGAGGGGAGTCTCACCATGTCCAGCAGGATGTCCACCTTCAACCGCAAAAGATTGTTCTCTTCCTCCAACTGCTGATTCCGCCTGCGGAGGCGCTGGGCCTCCCTCCGATCCACGCCCCCACTAATCCCTGTGTCTAGGGAACCACAGGCAGGAGTTAAGGGGGGAGTGGGTTATCCATTTGTCATTCTGTTGACCAAAATGGCAGGAAATGCAGCCTACCTGCTACCCACTGGCCATTTTCAAACTTCAGGTTTTGCCCTGCCAGGTTCATAGTGGGGGTTCCATATTCAAGTCCCAGCTCCACTTCACGAGTGGATCGGTCCAACTGTGGGTGAAACAGTTGATGGCATCAGAGGCCATGGAACACGAGCCCTGGTCCCAGTTCCTTTCCCATTAACTCTAGACCCCCCCTACAAGGATGCCACTGGGGCCCATCCTCCCCAGTGAGACCATGCTGGGCCCCAGACCCATGCTCACAGCATGTAGGTTGGAGAGAGAAGCAGACTTCCGAGGAGGTGTCTTCTTCGGACTGAATATATTCCCAAAGAGAGGCATCTCTGGCCTGATGAAGAAAGAACCAACACTCCCTTCTCCTAGGGATAGAGGGAAAAAGCCCCACAAGTTGATCAGTGACCCCAGGCCATTGTTTTCAAATCATGGTAGCAGGTATTTTATTCCATGGCTATTACTGACCCTGCTAGCAACTCCTGAGAATAGGACCATCATCATAGCGACTTTGTATGCCCAATAGCAGCTCCACACAGTAGGCGGTGAGCCCAGAACCTGCAGTTATCTCACTTAACTCCCATGCCCACGCTTCCACAAGCTCCTGCTCCTTACCCCATCTCACAGGTGAGTTTAAAAAGATATGGTATTGGTGGGAGTTTCTGAAGCCAGGCCAGAGTGGCTCCATGTGATGGAGACTCAGGTTAGTCTCACACCTGCACGGCCAGGTTCCTGTCCAGGGTAAAGATGCTCTCTCCTTCTGCACATTGCTGAGAGCTATACCCCCAACTCATAACAGTGCCCTCTACTTTTTTCCTTTTTTTTTAGTCATGGGCTTGAACTCAGGGCTTGGGTACTGCCCCTGAGCTTTTGTGCTCCAGGCTAGCACTCTACCACTTTGTTTT